ATATCCAGAAGCCAATGAATAAAGCCTACGCTTTTTAAGTTATAAGGATAATTTGACTCAAGGTTGTATATTAAAAGCAATCTTAAGGCAAAGAAGGATTGAAAAATTATTAAGATTTCCTTGCTTGCATTGTAGCATCATAGCAATTCTATTTCTCTAAGAGTTATTTAATGATACCTCTACTCACTAATCTTACCTGACAGCCAAAAGCAGTTGCCACCCATTTTACACTTTTTCCGCCTATTCCGGAGATTGACTTCTTTATTAATATCTCAAAACTCCTTAATATTTGGCCTATTTGTGAACTCTCTATATCCTGCAAAACGTTTGGTTTAGACCATTCAATCTGGTGAGACATCTGTTAGGCTAATCCTGATTTTTGAGGCACAAATCTATGCAGGCTGTTTCATGTCGAGATATCTTCTGATAAATAAATTGGTAAGTCTCTTACGCATGAATATTATTAAACTGAAGCCAAATATTACGAATGGATCCTAAAATTCTAAAAAATGACATTAACAAGAAAAGTATTATTAACTCAACTTTGTTCTAGCCTAGTTTCGCAGCAGATGTCGTTCGTAAGGTTATAAACAAAAAATGTGTATAGCAATAAGCATACCATATATTTAATTTGCTTTGACTCGTCCATCTTTTTCTTTGCACATCTTAAAACTTGAACCGCTAAATAATCCCCCTGTGGATGCCAAATCAAGCCGATTTCTGCGACTGAAAATAGGTTCTTTGTGCATAGCTCTTGACGACTAGGTATTTCAATTAGTACAACGCTGCAAGCAAAAAGATGTGATAAATTAAACAAGTGTCAGCTAAAATAAAAACCTTATGGTAAGGTGAAATTAAGGAATATCAATTTAAGAAAATAAAAAAAATGTAAGGATCAATATCAAAGCTTGTGTTAGAAGCTCCAAATTTTATTCACCCAACACACCTTTTTTACATGTAAACTTTAAATTAACTATATAGATAACAATAGTTAGAGAATAACTAGGAATTACTAAATATAGAAATTAATTATTCGCGTTCTTTGTATATACATAAAAGACAATAGCCTCAATCATTGGTTTTGGTAAGCGTCTTATTTTTTCCTTTATTTATTCTCAACGTACAGCCCTTATGCACATATCCTTTTACTCAAAAAGCAATCCTATTCTTAAATTTCTATAACTACAGTAAAAATGGATAAGCCGATTGAAGATATTAATCTTCCCCCTGAAGAAAGAGCGCAACTTTCACTCAAACTTACTTATTTATAGGAATTTGTCCTAATAGATAAATATAAGAAAAGTAACTAGAAAAATTGAATCACGAAGACCTCTTTGATAAATTGAGGTTGGAATACCTTTCATTTCATTTGAAGAAGAGAGGTGAAAGTATTCGTATGTTGGCTTCACCAGAAGGTTAAAAGAGATCGCCTCGGAATAGCGACCGTAGATATGTGTGAATAAGTTCTCGACGAACGTCACACAACCCACTGAATCAGTACTGACTTTCCTGTCCTGTGACAGAATGGACGAAAGATCAGCAAAGATTCATCGAAGTCGCGGAGCGGTGCGCCGAGGACTATTCACAGCTCCGAGGCAATACTCCTTTAAACGGAATGAAAGATACTTCAACAACGGTAGAAAAAATATATTCTTAAAAATTAAAATAGACAGTGCTCTTTGTGGACTCGTTGATCATAGCTGTAAACAAGTACCTTGGTTTAGCCACTAATGGAAAAAATTATTTGGGTAATGAAAGTTCCCCTGTGAGATGATAGTCTATTCACATCTTCTGGACATGACCAAACAAACCTTAATGAATCGAATTAAGTAACAACCTAAAGGATATATCTTTTGTTTGGCCCTTATTTTTAACTAAGCCAAGGAAAAGGATAATAATTATTCAATATGATTTCAGATTGATTATAAGAGTAGTAACATTAAAACTTTACCGAGCTGGAGTATTGTCCGACTCTGGAACCCAGTAGGTAATGATGTTATCAGTAGGAGACCAAGAATAATCTCTTATTCCAGATGGAGACTTTATTGGATTTTTATCAAGAAGATGAAAGCTCTTGGTTTCGAAAATGTAAATATTCGAATCACGAAGACAAGCAAAATATTCGTCTTTATATGACCACCGCAAAATAGGAAGAGATTCAAAAGCACAAGTCATTTCTCGACAGCTGATGCCGCGACGTATATCCCAAATAATAAGATCGGCTTTGCTGCGTCCTTTGTCATCCAAAACGCCAGATGAACTTGGGCTCATTGTAACCATATATCTGAGCAAATAATTAGTAAAATTAAGAAATATGGGCTGCACTGCATGTGAAAATAGAGAAATTACTTAATAGTATTTAAGTTACATTATAGTACAACCAGAGAAAATGTTCCAAGCCAATATTTTTTAAAGAATATTAAAGTGAGTAAGTACTGATACGTTTAGCAACTTAAAATTCGTATGAAAAAGTTACTAGAAATAAAATTAATCAGTAACGAAAATAAATTTAATCACAATAAAGTAATATATACATACATGCAAAAATTTCAAGTTCCCAAATCCCAAGAAATATCTCTGCGGGATTGCCTTTTCCAGCGAGCAATCATCAGGAAATTTAATCTATATGGAAAATCCATTTGTCTAAAAAGGCTTGATAAATTTACTTAATTGATTATGTGTAAAGTTAGCTAAGATTAGATTGAGAATCGTAATAATAAGCGATTTATTTGCCTTAACGTGGCAAATTTGCTTAAATTTAGAGTAAGCCTAATCCCATACCAATATCAATTAAACACTAACAGCGAGCAGCCTAATAATGCTATAACACATGGGCATGTAGATCCAGAGGAACCTGATAAATATTGGCTCAGATAGGAAGTGCATAAAAGCCCACTCACTAATAAAGCAAAACATTAAAATTTAAACAAAAGGAAAAACAATGTGAATAGTGAACTTATTATTTAATCTAACTTTATTTCAGACTAGAAACAAAATTCAAAAACTAAAAATTTGCTGTTCAATTCTATAACTTAATGATAGTGAATAGAGCACAAAAGTCGAGACCGTGGTAGCCGAAAATTATATTCATTTATAAAGAACTTAAAATTGAGATAAGATTAACATTGTATTTCTGAGACCAAACTTCAAAAACCTTAGAAAATACAAAAATAGTTTTAATTTGCCATGAAAAAA